CTTATAAAACGTACTTCTCCATTGCCCTCTTGCCAAACAGGTTCCACAGATATCTCAGACTAGAAGGGCATCGTTACTACTCTTATCTGTTCTTGGGCAGAGATAGAATGAAAAGGTACAAAGAGCCAACATATCAGATTTATATCCCCGATACCTAAATCTTGAAACCCTCAAACTTATAATGAGATTTAACAATCAACAATTTGCCAGCCACGGAATATAACCAAACACAGTGGCTAGGCCTGATCTCTTTGATTTCGAAACCTAATGATATTAAAAATAAACCAAATGGACTACCCAGATGGCTGCAGTATTAATCATACATTGTGCCAATGAGAAAAAGTAAACCCACCTCCTTTAAGTTAAGCCTATGAACTTCAAATCCTGGTGCGCTCCCTTTTTAAAAGTCCAAAACTTATAATTCATACAAGACAGCACTTCATTATCATTTCCTAGTTATTTCAAGTATGCTTATATTAGCTCAACAATACAACCATCTAGGGGATGAGATTATACACAGGACTTACGTGTAACCTAGCATAGGGCCAGGTACACAATATTAATTCTATAATTCTGTTGGTTAACTCATATGGTGATAATACACACAAACACACTCATAAACTGCAAATGCGGAAAGAACGGGGAAGGAGACTTTCAGGACCCTCGGACTTTTCTATGGGTAGCACCAAAGAGAAAGAAATTAAAACAGGGAAAAGATTACTTAATAACTACAAAGTAGTACTTACAGTATTCTAAAGAGCCAGAGACTCTTCTTACAGCTGTCCAAGGAGCTAGTAGTGCACACTGCACCCTGAGCTGGGCCGACCTTTTGACATCCTTCTCACAGGAATAGTATCCTTTTTCAGTGATTATAAGGAACTGCTGTTATGATGATTAGTTATTTGCTTCAGCAGTTCCGTATTAAATACTTCTCTGCCACCAAACACCCTGTACACTAGAGGCTAGGCTAATTTTCATTTTTACCAAGCAGCTATCTCACTGTTGAAATTTATGTCCAGAAGAATGATTAGATCTTGGCCTATTTTTCTTTTGCTATAAAACAGGGAAACAGGTCCCATCATTTCTAAGTCCTCACTTCACTGTGTTGCTTAAGGCTACTTTAAATTAGCACAATTAAAGAGGGCATATTTTATGTAATAGAGTAATCAAATAAGGTGATCTACAGTATATGTTCTCTCATTTCATCTTTTTATAGTAATCTTCTTGAAATAAGAAGGGGCCAGTTGGTGCTCCAGATGAAGAAATTTAAGGATTAGAAAGTGTAGGTAGTTTTTCTAAAAGTGAATGGTAGTAAAGTCCAAAGATACTTGTCTTAGGAGCTCCATTCTAGAATTCTTTTGGTATAGCAAGAGTCACAGTGGTCTATCCACAGACTCACCACCCTTAGTAAAATGAGAGACACTGGTCATCAGGTACATGGTATAAATGGATCTTTAAAGTTCAAAAATTTAATGACCAGGTTATTCAATTCCAGCTGTAATCCAGATGTCTTTCTTAAGAAACAAGAAATTCACGGGAACTCTTTGATTGTATCCTGGCAATTGATTCTGTAGAATAGCATTCTTAGCCAGGCAATCTGCTCTGGAAGGAAGAATGCAGAGACGGTGTTAATCTTCCTTCCCGGGAAGACAATTTTCATCTGATAAAATAAAGAATGGCAGTCCAGGACCCTGGGCCTGACTTGCCTTGAACATTTTGCCCAGTAAAGCAGTAACAACAGTGGGCAGGGATAGGACAGTCATTGGAATTGGGATAATTAACAAATACAGGAAAAGGAGTGAAGGTCCATCCACCTAGTTCAGGCCTGCTTTTGGTAGTCAACACTGCACAAACGCAACATCAAAGTGGCAGGGAGATCTTGGGATGATGGGCTGAAAAATGGGACAATCAGTACTGTGTTAATTAACAACACAGAAAGGGCTTTAGGTAGTCAGCATTACTCAGAAGCAATGCAAAGAAATAAGTGCAGGGGTCCATGTCGGATGGGCGGGACCAAGGAAAGTGTAATACGAAGTGGGTAAACCACTGACATCTGGGATTGTTAACATTTAGGTCCAAGAGAAAGGGCCTTGCCCAGTCAACATTCCCCACCAACAATGCAAAAGGTGCAGGACAGGGGCGGGAAGGAGGAGGAAGCAGAATCTCATCTATTGACTGGATACATGGACATCTGAAATTATGATTATTAATAGTCCATAAGGAGGGTCCAAGGGCAGGCAAGGGTAGGGAGAGAGAAATTAAGGGTAAGGACTATTTGCAACTTTATATCCTGGAGCAACGCAAAAGGAGTGGGAGTATGCATTGCTGTTTGAGGGACAAGCTCGGGATATACTGCAATGTTTATACTTTATTATGCCATAGAAAATCGGGGCTGGGAGTACTTGCCTAACAAGGCCCGGGAGGAGAAACCCATTGCTAATTGCCATTGTGCCATTAACATTCCCAGAGTTTTGTGTGGACA